GGGTCGTCTATAACTGCCAGGATGTATGGCCTCTATGGGTCGTCTATAACTGCCAGGATGTATGACCTCTATGGGTCGTCCATAACTGCCAGGATGTATGACCTCTGGGGGTCGTCTGTAACTGCCAGGATGTATGGCCTCTATGGGTCGTCTATAACTGCCAGGATGTATGACCTCTATGGGTCGTTCATAACTGCCAGGATGTATGACCTCTATGGGTCGTCCATAACTGCCAGGATGTATGACCTCTGGGGGTCGTCTGTAACTGCCAGGATGTATGACCTCTATGGGTCGTCTATAACTGCCAGGATGTATGGCCTCTGGGGGGTCGTCCATAACTGCCAGGATGTATGGCCTCTGGGGGGTCGTCCATAACTGCCAGGATGTATGGCCTCTGGGGGGTCGTCCATAACTGCCAGGATGTATGACCTCTGGGGGGTCGTCCATAACTGCCAGGATGTATGACCTCTATGGGTCGTCTATAACTGCCAGGATGTATGACCTCTATGGGTCGTCCATAACTGCCAGGATGTATGACCTCTAAAGTCTATGGGTCGTCTATAACTGCCAGGATGTATGACCTCTAAAGTCTATGGGTCGTCTATAACTGCCAGGATGTATGACCTCTATGGGTTGTCCATAACTACCAGGATGTATGACCTCTATGGGTCGTCTGTAACTGCCAGGATGTATGGCCTCTATGGGTCGTGCATAACTGCCAGGATGTATGACCTCTGGGGGTCGTTTGTAACTGCCAGGATGTATGGCCTCTATGGGTCGTCTATAACTGCCAGGATGTATGACCTCTATGGGTCGTGCATAACTGCCAGGATGTATGACCTCTATGGGTCGTGCATAACTGCCAGGATGTATGACCTCTATGGGTCGTCTATAACTGCCAGGATGTATGACCTCTATGGGTCGTCTATAACTGCCAGGATGTATGGCCTCTGGGGGGTCGTCTGTAACTGCCAGATGTATGGCCTCTATGGGTCGTCCATAACTGCCAGGATGTATGACCTCTATGGGTCGTCTATAACTGCCAGGATGTATGACCTCTATGGGTTGTCCATAACTACCAGGATGTATGACCTCTATGGGTCGTCCATAACTGCCAGGATGTATGACCTCTATGGGTCGTCTATAACTGCCAGGATGTATGACCTCTAGGGGTCATCCATAACTACCAGGATGTATGACCTCTATGGGTCGTCCATAACTGCCAGGATGTATGACCTCTATGGGTCGTCCATAACTGCCAGGATGTATGACCTCTATGGGTCGTCCATAACTGCCAGGATGTAAGACCTCTATGGATAATGCATTACTGCTAGAATGGATCATGCACAATTTGTAACATATTTCCACTATTATTAGTGTTTTGTACATTGTTTGATTAAAAGGACTATACAGTTACATAAATAAACAAACATGCATTCTAATCATGGATTCCTATTCTATTTAGAGATAGAATGCTTTGGGGCATTTTTTGTCTATGTAGCTCGTCAGATATCGTTTCATCACCACTTGTCTATAAATGCTGAATAGTTTATCCATAGTAAATACTTCAGATACTTATACTTGCCCAAAGCAGGCCAGATATTCAAGAATGGCTGTAAATCTTGTTTGACATTTTATGCCTGTAGCAAGCACTTTAGCCTAGTTGTTGAAGCGTGTCTGGGATATTAATGTAATTACTGTGCTTGTTTGATCTGCATACTAAACACTGTGAAACTGTAAACATGTTTGCAGCTACATTTTATGTGCAAAGGTTATGTTCGTAGAAAATGTGTACAGGATACAATAATAATTGGAATAAATGCACACAAATATGTACTTGTGTCGTAAAAAACACACATAATCGCATTGAAGCATCAGGGGACATTCAGCATTCAGGGACAAGAAATGGGCAGCCACACAATGTATATATCATTAAAGATTGTGGTATCAATAACTAACAATTTTGTAGTCTTCAAGAAGTGTACTAAGAACACCTGACAAATTTTTGTTACTTCAAAATTCTGGGATGTTCACTGACTTCGGAAATTTAGCTCGAACAAATTACAATTACACATACATATTGACATGCTCTGAATTCTACATGGCAGATATGAAGAGAAATAAAATCGGATCATCAATAAATTGTTGGGAGACGGCATTCATTCAAGTAGTAATCTTGTGAAGATTACAAAATTGTGTGGTTGAAAATCAACTTGGAGAAACTAATGAACTGAATTGAATGAGCTCTGTTCCTTAGCAGTGTTCAACGAGTAATTTAACAATTATTGAGTAGTCACTTCTGATTGAAATAAACCAAATCATCACAAGCTGAAGGTGACTTTCAACTGAATTGATTGCATTTTTTTTTTTGTAGGTAACACAACGAGATGTGCCAGGTATTGATGTTGCCTACTTAGCCATGGACACAGAAGAAGGAGTAGAAGTAGTATGGAATGAAGTGCAATTTTCTGAAAGGCGTAATTTTAAAGCTCAAGAAGTAAGTTGCTGTTATTACTGTCAGTATAAATTACACACTACTTTTCATTTCACTTTTCCTTCACACTATTGTCATAATCATTTCTTTTCTTTCAGACTAAGAATTACTTAACAAGTTAATTGCTTTTCAATATTAAAGTAACAATAGCTTTTATGGCTTTGATAATTTTTTTTTATTTTTATTTTTAATAACAAATTTATTTCTATTTATAACGGCCATTGCTGAAATGTGGACACTGAAAGCTTAACGTGTACACTCGATACCAGCGTTGTACATTAGATCTTTCAATCTCCATATATTGAATTCCAGTTTTGTCAAGCAAACCTCAAGAGTTATGATACAAGAAGACAACTTACTTGGTTCCCCTTTATATAATGTCAAATAAGTTGCCATCTTGAAAGGCTGAGCTCCTTTTCTAATTTTAGGTTTTATTTCCACCATAGTATTGTGCTTTGTGCACCATTTTCTACAGTCTACAGTACATAACCAGTTTCATGAAATGGCAACTACGAGTACTTGATCCTTACCTTGTGTTATATTGGCCTTGTGTATGGTCACTTTGCCCATGCATTTGTGTGTAAAACAATATTATGATAAGATTTGGTCATCTTTATATTATAGTTTTTCAAAATCACAGCTGTTGTTGAAATGTTCATTAAACCTTTCACATTTAATATCACTGAGAAAAACTGCTTGATTGATCTTTGCTTTGAAGGGGTGCCACCTATGGCAGAATACAGAAATGTTTGAAATATGTTATTATGGGATTAATTATTTGCTGGGTGAATTTTACCTATTTGATGGATAAATAAATGCATTGAACAAAATAGTAGTGAATATCCATGCAATATCAATTGATTTTTCTTTTTTTGAAAGTTGTCATGTTATCTATTCTGTTAAAGGGGAACTGATACTATAAATAGGTGCAAGATGGCCACCGCAATTAGTATGCTAATCCGAACCAAGCCGCTCACATCGTGGTGGGAGCTTAGGGAAATGAGCCATTTACGACGTTCAGAGATCAAGCTGTGATTCCAAATACATTTCTACGAGGGCATGAAAATGTACGCTAGCGATTACACTTATTTGGTTGGGCTTTTGATGTATTTAAATGTAGTTATTTTTGTTTGAAACGTGCCGCGATAAGTAAAAATCCTGATTTTAAAATGGCGGCTAATGTATGCAAAATGCCTGTCAATCACAGTTTGAGTAAGCGAGCATAATACGCATTCCTTTACTTAGTGGGCATAGGTGAAGTTAATTACCCATAAGCACTTGGTGCAATGCATGGGATTGAGCGTTTCCCCTTAACAATTATGTATATTGCCAAATAGATAGAAAAAAAAAAGCAGCATTTGTTAGGCTGTATATATTTGTTAATCTTCTATGTGAAGCAAAACAAGTATTTCTTGTATCGTGGTAATAATAAGGTACATGTAATTGCTAAGATTTCAGCTTGTTTTCAATACTTTTCTACACAACCCTGCACTATTGTCATGTGATTAGAATATGCCAAGTTATAAATTAAAAATTTTGAAAATGTTTTTTATTTATATTACAGGAAAAAATAAAACTGGTTTTTGATAATCTTATACAACTGGAACATGTAAATATTGTAAAGTTCCATAAATACTGGACAGATGTCAAAACTGAAAAACCAAGAGTAAGTCACAAAAATCTGCATTCACAAACTTGTTAAACACCCAACTAAACTTTTGTAACTTCCCACATTTCAGCTGTCTCATTGTTTCCATATTTTATCACAAATTTTGATCAAAAACTGTCGTCAAGGAGAATTCATCTTATTCAAAATTAACAACAAAATTATCAAAACTTGCGCCTAACATTTGGCAGGAAAATTTATTCATGTTTGGTTTGGGTCCCATGCGTTGTATACAATGTGTTAGGTACATGAAATTCAAACATGAATGCGCAAAGATCATGGTGCTTCGAGGTGTGATTCATTAAAAATCTGTCAGTTCCAAGTTCAATTTATAATTGGGAAAAATTATGGTAACTTGTCACGCATTGGTGATTTTCAAACCTTGTAGGATTGTCCTCATCATGGATGTTATGTGAGGTTGTCTTCCTGTATCAGTCTTGTAAAACAAGTACAAAACATCAGTATTAATAAGCATAATATTATTATATTATAAGTTATTACGAGGATACCTCAAAGTATGCACGAAGACAGTACAGCGAGAGTATCGACCGACACACAGCAGAGGTCGATGCATCAGTGTACTGTCTGAGTACATCTTTTCCCTCCAGGGATACATCATGGGAATTCAAAAAGTTTAGAAAAGAATCAGCGAATTTCTTGGAGTCCGATCAAACCCTGGTGGCGGTCATGTTTGTTTTTATAATTAGAGGACACTTGTGCGCGTAATCATTCCATATTTGGAATTCGCATTTTCTTATATGTGTGTTTAATGTACGAAGTACGTTGAACATTATTTGTGACGTTTATCTCGCGTTATATCTCATAGACTCGCGTGACTAATTGATTACATGACGTCATTAGTTTGTTGTTTCGCCATCTTGTAACACTAGTTTGTTCGCGCTACTCTTCAGGAATTTATCACAATTTTAATTCCTCATTCCACGTCATGGAGAACACTACTAACGTTAGAAGAAGAGGCAGGAAGCGACGCACGGCCGGTGAACAAGAGCCACAAGTAGCAAACTCTCGTCAAGAAAGAGTCGAAGTTACCCCAAGTCGTCCGGGGCCCTCGACTCGCTCATTAGCAAGGCAGCGGCGTCCTCGAGTTTTGGACCAAGATAATCCTAATAATTGGTCGGCTGCGGTTTTGAGACA